AGCCGTCGATCACGAGAATCACACGAGTTCGAAAGACGATCATAGGCGAGGGGATCGCAATGATCGGAGTCGTCATACATCCGATAAGAGTCGCCGCTACGACGATCGAAGGCAACGTGATAGTAATAGTAGTCATAGAGACCGAAGCAGAGATCGTAAAAGCCGAGATGACGATAAGCGTAAAACTTCTCTCGGATCATCCAAGGATGAGAAGAGTGATGACCGAGAAAGGAGCGACAAGGATCATCATTATAGGGGGGACGACAGAAGGGATCGTAATCGCGACAGAAATGAAAGGGACAGGCGTAGGGATCGCGGTGACCGAGAGCGGGATCGGCGACATTCCAGGGACGATCGATCAAAGGATCGGCACCGGGACGAGCGCTCGAATTATCATAAGGAAAAGGATCGCACGCGGTCGAGGTCGCGATCGAGGGATCGTGCTCCACCGCTGCCGTTTAGAATGATGAGTTACCGGGAGGAGAAGGGACGGAACAAACTGGCCCAATTGGAGAAGCTGGGCATAGAGTTAAAACCGCCGGAAGGTTGCGGTGACTTGGCGACATCCGGCGGTATGCAGAGCGAGCAGAGTTATTATAATCCGTTGGCGACAGCGACGCAGGGCAAATACGCTGAGCAGATTCAGAAGAGGAAGCTACTGTGGGCAAACAAGGTGACGATTATTAATAGCGATAACGATATTGTTAATCGGCATGTCCGACACAGTCCCGTTCTATAATTATCTTTTTTCAGCAGTCAAAGCAAGACGATGGTAAGAGTACGTCGACCGCAGCTTCCACGGCCAATACCTGGATGGGGACGACTTTCACACACGATCAGGACGGAAAGGTGTCTGCCAAATTCAAGCGACTGATGGGTATTAAGGGCGATTTACCTAGCGCGCCTACTGTAGGAGCCAAACCGGATATTCTGAAAAAGCAGGAGGAAATGTTCAACAACATGGAGCAACAATACGAAGTGGCGCGAGCCACCACACACACGCAGCGCGGTGTAGGGCTAGGTTATGCTAGTGGTGGCTATCAGTTTTCACGATAAAGTGCATTGAAACTTCACATCTTCTTCTTTGTTTAATTACATTTAATATCGATAGAGAGATATACGGAAATATAGTTATGTTCGACAGATTATACCAAATCAAATCCCTTTAATTCTGAATCTTTCCTTCAAGTCGTGGATAGCAAATTGTTCTAACCCGGCTTCAGAGTTCATTATGAATATGACTGCAATGAAATTATGTACTTGAGCGTTACAACATTGCAAATAAATTTATTAAGATTATCTAAAAAATAAGACGCACTTATTTCTAATTATAAGAAAGTTTTTTGTTCAATTATACTTACTATATATATATATTTAAATATAAAAAGTAGCCTTGTTTACGGGCACAATCTATCCTTGTTTAATTTGATTCTAGAAGCCTATGGAGAATAGAAACATATTATTTGATAATGGAAATAAAGATAATATGCCTGCGAATGATGGAAGAAAATTATATAGCTATTCTTTTATTTTTAAATCTCCCGTTAAAGACTACAGTTTACGAGTATAAATCTATGCTTTGAATATACGCGCGTAAACATGAAGTTCTTACATCATAGCGTAGCTAGAGTGTAATACGGGCTGGGTTTGGGGAGCACGCTTAAAGCATCGTCCATCTTTGTTACTTACTGAAAGTTAAATAAGGACAGAGCATGCTCATAGCGCTAAAAGTGTTTCTAGAACCCAGCCACGGTAGAATAGACGGAAGCGCGCTTGTAAAGCGGAAGTACACGGTAAGTCAAAGCATCTAACGGTTACGCAGCAATACGCAGATGTGGATCGTGTTTATCAAGATGGCGTGCCAACGTTTGATTTGAATTTGTTCGTTAGCTTATTGGCGATACTTTGAGAAGTTTGTATGAAGCGAGGACTGACTTTGTCAAATCTTGAGAAGAATCCCGTGATTAGTATTGTTATATGGTGTTCAACTAACGTTTCTTTAAAGAGAGAGGACAGAGCACAATGGATAATTATATTAAAATAGAGAAAATCGGAGAAGGTGAGTTTGGAAGGACTCGCTGCCAAGTTGTTGTATCGTGTATTGCATTTGTGGGAATACATATTTACCGATCTCTTCTTGGCAGCGATTTGGCTGCATTATCTGTAACATACAAGCTCATATATCCTTTGTTTTTATGATATTAGAGTATCATAAATTGGTGTATAAACTTTGTATACACATGTGCTATATCTAAATATTTATATATAATCAAACAAAATTAGATTTTTGTTAAAAAAAGAATAGTGCAATATATA